ATGGTAAAATACCATTAAAGAATACCTGACCTTCCAGCAATAGTTTAATGTTGATTTACAAAAAGTTTTGTGATATAGCTATGCTGATTTGAAAATTAAATAGCCAACTATTTTCTCTCCCGTCCTATAATATTACTCAGTAGACATGGTAACATTATTATACGAGCGGCGAAATAGTCCCCAAGAAACGTTTCTTTTCTTAAGTACTTACCGACATAAGCGGCCGAATGCCGCCTAGGTAGTTTAATCAATACATAAAATATGCCGTCGTTTCGTTTGTGTTTATTTAAACTATTAAATCAGTTACTTTTTAGACATTACGGTGTGAAGACACGTTCGTGATTTTTATTTTTTATTCTCGATTTATTGATCAGTTATTGATGACAGAAATGCATATGCTAAGAAATTGCTTAATGGTATTCGGTGTTGCGGAGAGAATTGCCGTCGATTTACCTTGAAACTACATTATTGGTTTTTTCGATGACAGGTAGTCTTTGACGCCCTAAGTATTAAGAAGATAAGAAGAAAACGCCAAAAGACAGCAAGCAAGAATGCTGAAATAAATTTGGATCAGCTGCCAGTTGTGTTAAGGAGGTGTTAGGAAGGATCGGCCCTCGTCAGCGTCCGCGCCCTATACGCGTCGAAGCTTCGCAAATGACGAAGCAACCCTTGACCTTGGTGTGTTTTAAGTTAGTGACAATGACTATCCCAAGTGCTGAAGTGCAAGAATAGTATCGCGTAATGGAACCGACCGACACCGATAAGCACGAGTTTTCTTAGTAAACGCTGATCTCATTGGAATGTATAGTATAGTTTCTTTATTTAAAATAAAGATTTTATTGTTTAATACTTTATAATTACATTGAACTTACTTAATTCGAAATTTATTTTTGTCATTATTATGTATTATGTATCCGCCATAACATGATAATGTATCTCACTGATGTTGTGTTGAATAAATTTATCGGCGTTGTAAGATTTGTGAGTTGTAACCTTCTAAAAGTTTTTACCTTCCACTGCAAGCGATTTAATGTTTAATTCAAAATCTCAAAACAAAAAAATTATAAGTTACAGTGGAAATTGTCTCATGAAATCTATTATTAATTCCATGTAAAAAATGTTTTTATGTAGGTATGACGCGGATATTTGCTTAGAAAAATAAACGTAGTAAAAAAGTAGTGTGTCTGTGTTTTATTTCCCGATAATGAATACCTATTCTTTAATCCATAACATATTAAGTAGGGCTCATGGACTATCAGTATAGCTATTTCGTGTCTTTCTGTTGTGACAAAATCCGATAAATTCAAATAAATTTTGATGATAAGCACGGTGTTTCATTGTATTAGAGCATCGCCAGGACCTGCAGCGCGATGCGGTCGTTGTCAGTTTGGTTGGCGAGGGGTGGGCGGAGGGGACCGATAAACTTGAGGAGCGGGAAGTGGGGTAATGACGTAATGAGGAGTGTATAATTCGGACTATCATTATATTTAAACAAGACTCTCCTATACCTATACATATAGGAGAAACGTATTTAAAATATAATATTGTATATTTACAACTTTTACCATATAGACGTGTTCCCCTTAAACAATGTTCGGGATTAGGACTCCACATAAGAAAGGAAAGGCAGAAGAGAAAGACAAAACTCCCCCAAATAGAGAGGAGATGGCTGGACCATCTTCAAAAGAAGATCAAGTAAGGAGTAAAGTGAGGAGAAGTATCGGAGAGTGGGAAAATGAAGGAAGGGAGTCAAATCCCGAACCACAGGGCAGGACATCTAAATACGCCCCGGCAGGACGCACGAAGCAGCTAGGGCCACCCCCCTCTAGTAGATTTTCACTGGAGGAAGAGGGGAGCCAAATGGAAAAGGAAGAGCCGAAGAAAAAAGACAGGGTAGCTGAAGCAAGAGCTTGCCTAAACAAGGCAAAGCTTTACTTAAATAGCGCCAGAAACTTAAAAAACGGAATGAGGTGATTCAAGTCATTGACCGTCTTTACCAACTAGTGAAGGAGGCCGAAGCAGAGAAAAAGCCAGAAGAGGTCAGTGAACAGAAACAGGAAATGGAAACACAAAGAAAAGAGCAAGGAATAGAGAAACAAAGAGAAAGGAAGGAAAGCATGGAAGAGAAATTAATTGAAAAGATGGAACAACATGGGAAGATCATAGAAGAAAATAGAAAGGAAATGATAAAATTAGGAGAAGCACTGAAGGAATATGAGAATAGAGAGATAGCGGTACATACAAAAATGACATACGCAAATGTAACTGCCGGGACAAATACATACATACCACCGAGGCAAGCAGCTGCATATTCGGTGGCTGTGACTTCGGCGGACGAAATTGAAACTGGGCCCAAGTGGTGGATCGCATAAGGAAAGCAATAAATGCAAAAACAGAAGGAATAAGGATCGATTCAATAAGGAAAGCCAGAGATAGGAAGGTGATAATCGGATGCAGCAGTCAAGAAGAATTGACGAAAATTAAAGATAAAATAAATGCAAAAGGAACGCTACTAACGGCAGAGGACATAAAAAAACAAAGATCCACTTGTCATATTGATAGATGTTACGATGGATAACACCGATGGCGACATCATCAAAGCTGTAAGGAACCAGAACGAACACCTGCTGGGGGGAGTGAGTGAGGTTGACCTACGTATGGAGGTCAAATCAAATCGTAAAAGAACTAAAAACCCGCTCACTTGCCATATAGTAATGAGAGTGTCGCCACGGGTGTGGGCAGCTATGACAATGGAAGGGACGATCTTCATAGACCTCCAGAGAGTGCGGGTCACAGACCAATCTCCGCTGATCCAGTGCTCACGGTGCCTGGGCTATGGGCACACAAAGAAACTCTGCAGTGAGACAGCGGATACGTGCAGCCACTG